TTAGGGTTAAACAGCTTTTATACCACCTGATTTTTGAATAATAAAATTTGGTCCCTGAATTTTGAATTCCAATCTTTAAACACCTGAATTATTATAATTTCTCTTAAATTAGTGTTGCTCATGGTCCAACCTAAGATTTGGATGGTTTTTTCGGTTGATAGCCCACTTACATTTTTATTGGGCCTTACTATTCCCTAACCCAAAAGTCCAACCCCAATCCCTTTATATTGTTCACTCCTTTACTGTTGCAATTAGTGTGAAACGTGGGCAGCCAGTTTCTTTGAGGGAGAAAGAGTGTATTGGCTTTGTGCTTTCTCCCTTGGCTTTGTGCCGGTTCTTCTACCTTTCTCTTAGCCTTAGTGGCTGATATTTTGGCTCCCAATAACATTCACATTCAGCCCTCTGTGGGCATTAAAGCAACCAAATTGGATGGTGTTTGGTTTGTGTTGGTCGGATTTTTGTGATGGTCGATTTGCAATACTGAGCCCGGTTTTCTTGGTGATCGAAGTCCCTCATTCTACATCAAACATCCCCTATAATGATACATAAGGTCTTGGACGTCCATTTTTTGCCGAATATGGACCCCACCAATGCATCATTTACATTATAGCATGCAGAGATGAGCCAATTTAAAACACGTTAGAATTAGCTTTGAAAAATGTGTCTTCTTTAAGAAGTGTGCATCTACACAAAAGTATTTTGCTATCAGATAGTCCCAAGCTTTGGTTGCCTCAGATTACAAAAAGAAAGCTGCATCATATGCAAACCCATTGGCTACCTTTCTGATCCACAGTTAATCTATTGGACTACATATCATACAAATCAAAATACAAAATAGCTGTAGCTTTAGCACTTAATCCTCTCGTCTTATCAAACAACAAACAAAAAATGACCATATTCAAGGTACGGTAACTTCATGCGCGTCAAAAGTTGCTCATTTTGTCACATCAGAAACTTCTTTAACACGTATCCACCAGCTGCTGCTCTTTTCTTGTTTCGACTCCAGACTCCATTTGTACTGGTAAAACAGAAGTAATCATCAGATATACGTTTCTGTTAGTCGTCTAGATAACAGCCATTCGAAGTCATTAAATTGCACATCAATGAAGAACACTGTAATCCTAAAAAAACCAGAAAACTTCTGTCTATGCTAATAGTGTGCAGCAGATCATTCAAAGATTTCTTGCCTATAAAGCAAACAAATACGACAGTACACATTTACCCCTACCTAACCTGGATATTATTGTTATTCGAGAGTATTTTATGAGAAAAAATAACGCCATGCAAGATTCTGTCTATTAACAATCCAAGGAAGACATCTCCATACATTAATTTTCGTGCCTTTGACTCTCGACTTTGCATATAAAGGTGAAGGATTTGATACATATCAGTCATCATTATAGGGGATCAAGTTAGGCACAAGATAACTTTTGGGTCTCGCATTCAGCTGTGTACACTTTAAGACCACAATTAAGATAATCTATCCTCCAGAACAAAATTTTCCTTTCCCAACAAGCTCTTGGAAAATCATTTCCTACAACTCGTGACCCTCCATTTTCTATTTGCTAATAAGACTTATTTGATGGTGGAGATTTTAAAAAGCCCCCTCCAGAGACTTTGGAAGACGTAAAAAATAAATTTCAAAGTAAATCTATTATTGTTTCCTAATTCCTAAACATTCTGCCAACTGTACATGTTTACTTACACCAAAAAGTATCCAAGATGTTACAGAAAATATTGGTACTATAAGTTCTGTAAAAATTAATCAAACCTATTTAAAAAAAGGACCATAAGAGTAAATTGAGATGTCAATTAACGTCTATGCTGGTTTATAGCATGTTTAGAGCTTCAACTACCAAAGTTAATAAGAGTTTTCTTCATTATTTTGTTAAATATTGTCTCACTGCACCAAAGACAGTAAAAATAGAATAGCACACAATTCCTCCAGAAATCTTAAATCTCAATCGGAATTTCACTTAGAAATAACAGTACCTGGAGCAGCACCCTACATTTTTTACATTGATAACTTATTTGTACCAGCAAGGCTTTCCGATGCAGCACCATCACGTTTTTGTATTTGTTGTAGGTTTTGGAAGGGAGTTGAACTGGGAGAGGATAAATTTAAGAAAGGTTAGTCAAGTCTTCAGATGAATGCTGTTGGTTCTGCAAGCAAAAGCTTCTAAGTTCCATAATGAACGTTGTTCACAAGGATAGATCGGAATGAGAAAAAAAAAGGAAGGACAGAGGAATACATGATAGATAAAAAGCAGAAGATACAAAAATTTCAAGCAGTATCAATGAGATAATAAAACACATGTAATATTTCATAATCTATTTAGTATAGCACCAACGTTAATAAAAAGTGATATTAGACTAGGTTGGTTACAGAGCATAATTCGCAAACTTAAAAATCCAAGTTCTAATAATTGATTGGGGTTTTTATACTCTTATCATAATCTGTGAGACATAACTGACACTAAATTGAACCACAAAATACCCTAGTTTCACAACTTGGACAGCATTTTCAAAGAGAACCTTTGAAGCACAGATAGAGACATGGGACACGGAGTGTTGCACTCGTGTTTGAGGCACATCAAGGAATTAATGCTTGATTTCCTAAAATACAAATGAATATGCAAGTAAAATATATGGTATATCTTGAATATGTAAGTACAATATATGGTATATTTTTACTTATTTTTATTTATTGGCTTGCTTACATTAGAATGATTTTTAATGTCTAAACATGGTCCAACAAAAAACATGTGCAACAGTGAAGTCCATAGACAGGTAAGTCAGTCGGTTCTGACCAACCGAGTGCTACAGGTTTGCAAAAGTCTGGCTGCGATTTTGTTAAGGTTTCTAAAGCCTAAATAAGGTGCAACTCTTTTTTACCTTAAAGCAGCATATTCAGAAATATTTACTCATCATCTTGGACAAAGTTGATTGGTCTAATAATTAAAAAAAGGTATAACTCTTACTTACCTTGAAAGCAGCATATTCATAAAACATCT